CGGGCGGTGTGCAAAGTCCGGTCGCTCGCACGTCCACCACCCGCTGGCGCGAAAGACGCACTCGAGCAGCGAGAGCTTGCGAGCACATGCGCACGCACGCGCGCACGTACACACACACGCACGTACACACGCACACACACACGCACGCACACAAGCACACACGCGCACACACGCGCGCACGCACGCACACACGCGCACACGCGCGCACACACGCGCACGCACGCGCGCACGCACGCACATACACACACGTCGTCCCAAGGACCGGTCAAGCGGCCGAAAACTCCCCCTCCCCCCTCCCCCCCCCAACTGCATTTAGACCACTCACGCCGGTGAATAGATCGTCATTGTACGAAGCGTCAAGTGCGAGATCTCTTCTCGCGGGAGGAGAGTCGACTGCCTTGCCCTGTATGACCTATCACCCGCGTCTATTCACCACGCGGCAGGTATTGGCAGCAGTGCTTTCAGGACCAACCGCTGAGTACGAACGACCTCAACACGGAACACACCTGCGTCCGTAGTCGCACTTCCCTGGCGAGCTTCGGCTACGGAACGGTCGCTCGGCAGCAATAACGAATCGATGTACGTTTGTTTTTATGACACAAGCAAGCGAGATAGCGCGCGTGCGTTGTGCTCCACGTTCGAACCGAATTCCGGGGCACTCCGTTGGCGACAGCCCAGCGTGCGGCGCAACACACCGTGGCGACGCGGACGGACGGATGTAACGCAACGCAGTCGTCAAACAAACAAACAAAGGACGTCCTGCGACAAAATACGAATCGTTGATGGGAAAAACCAGCGTGGACAAACTGTCACGTCTTTGATTGGACGTTTTGGCCGGAGCAGGCGTGGGCAATGTTTACCGTTTGGTGAAGATGGTCAAGGCCCAGCACCTCTCGTTGCTAACTCACGCCACCGCTAGTGGAAAGATCTCCCCGTTGGCAGGGAATGCCCACACTTCACCCCACCACACGCGGCCTGAGCGCTCGACTGTGGTCCACCGTCGTATGCCGCTGGGTGCATTGTCTTAACAGCCGTGCCAGAAGATTGAAACAGCGATCTCTGGTTTGCAAAAGCAGTGTGCTAAATGTTACTATTTTACATATGTTATTACAGGCCGCACATTGTGGTTTTAGTTGTCGTAAGTCACGACATTTAAATGATTTAGGCTTTTTTTTACCTTACCAATGCTAGTTTTTTTTCCGTGACTTTCGAGTAATTGCTGCAGTTCTGGAAAATGTGCCTCTCAGATGGCCAATTAAAGCCACGGCGGCGGTTACACTTGAGAAAAAATGCAATGCTTTGTTTGGAACAAAAAGAAGAACACCTCAAAATGGACCACTAGGTTCTGTGTTGTCAGCTACAGGCCAGCTTGACAAGACTTGCCAAAGAAAATGTTCAAATTAAATGTGAAATACAGCGCTGCCCTTTCTGGAAATGAGCTACCAGTGGAAGGATATTCTACGTATGATGGCTACATTGCCGTGCGCCTAAAGGTGTATTTTTGCACGTGTTAACACTACAGTACTGTATATATATATCTTGACAATTAATTAGATAAAAACTCACTTTAAACCCAATATTAAAATTAACTATAAATTGACAGTAATGGCTTATTCATATTAATTAATTCACGAATTGCGTTGTCCTTGCTTGAAAGTGCCAGTTTTATGAAGATACGGGGGAACAATTAAAATCTGTTAATTGCTGTAAAACATTGCTTAAAATCCACAAGGCAATTTCTGCGCAAACAACATCTATTTTGTATACAACCTCATTATGTTTTGTTATGGAGAATAATGGCTAACAACATCTATAAACAGACCTCCGCTGTCTCCAGATACGAATAAAATATGTTTTAGTCACAGTCCTATTGGCTCCGCAGACCAGCATTGCCCCGCAGAATGTATTTAATATGTAGAGAAACAGCGCTGACCGTCTGTGTAAATGTTATAGTCTAAGTTGTTATTTACACATTGGAGCAGGGGTCGGTGGCGTGGCCCAGTGGCAGTGCGCTCTTCACTTGTTGCAGAGGCTCACGGTTCGAATCCAGCGGCCACTCTGGTCGAGTAACCATCAAAATACTCAAAATACCGCACCGTGCACTCCACAGTGAACGGTGATGATCCCGCGGTGTCATTCGCAAGTGTAGGCCGTCAGGTGCCGGCATCAGCTCCACATTTGCCATGTTATAAATGATATAGAAATTGCCCCCCCAACCCCCCCCCCCCCCATCCACTCACCCGCGACAAAAAAAAATGACTTGGCAGGACCCTCCTGGAAAGGAGTCACGAGACTTAGGCTTTTTCTGGGTCAACAAGCCGAATAAAACTTATAAAAGTGGATAACAACGTACCAGCTCCCACTGGTGGTGTACGCAGTGGTGGCTAGTCGAGGGTTCGTGGACCGCACAAATGTTGGGAAACTCCCTTCCGTGGGTGTCAACATTCCATACCATGACTCGCCAGGAGAAGGCGGTACAGCAAGTGGACTAATCGTCATCTGTTTCCATCTGTACGAGGCTAAAGCGTTGCCCCCTCACACGCTTCAGTTTTCTCTGGACACTTCGGTATTCTCCCACATATATAAACTCATTAATTGGCTGAAAAGTTACTTCAAATAAAAATACTCAAAAAAGTGAGACAACTCAGTGTGGCCTTCCTAGATAAATAAGTAGGAAAAAGGAAAAAAAATAGAGTTTGTCTTTTCCGTTAGTGTGTAAATATTAGCTACTCACATGCATGGACCGATGCACAATTTATGATAATTCATATTTGCTCATAATCAGGAATATTAGATATCCCATGCACTGAATTCAATCAATCCCTGGCAATCCATTGATGTGTATCGGTTGGCTTAGGCTGAGCAAGCAGCCATATGGCCATGTCGCAGGGAACTGGGGTGGGATGAGACGTGAGAAGTGGGTGTGAGAGCAGATGAGAAGTCAGAGTTGTGCAGAATGCAGTGGGAGTTGAATGCATTACAAACATGGCCTCAATTAGCCCGTATAACGGAGGATAAACCACAGCAAATGTGAAACACTTTTATTTAACACAAACACATTGCCCCCCCATAATTTCCCAACAACAAAACTATCTCAGGTCTACAGCCCACATATGTTCCCAGCCTGGCTCTCAGATAGGCTCCAATTTAAATCTGTTGCATGGTCCGCCTCCGCTTCACTAACCCCTAGCTCTGCTTCGGCAATTGTGTTCACATCCCAATGGACCTGACAGAATATAATTGGTGTACATCTGCGCAACATCTACGCGAGTTTCCAACGCATGCAGAAACAGCGCTGTGTGCACACGGAGTAATACGCAGGAAGATGCCCCCATCCACAGCTTGTGAGCAACATCCTCAAGACCGGATCACAGCGGTCTGTGGCCTCGTGAGGTATCATGAGACCGGGTAACGTTGGCAGCTTGATGAAAAGGGAGGCTGAGCAAATCCTCCTGAACGAATGACAGTGCTTTGTGATCCTGTAGCCGCCCACACATGACTGCCACCGGAGGGAATGGTTAAGAATAAACAATAAAGCATCGAGGTGGAGCAAGGCAGCCAAACTGGCCGGTGGGGGTCGTTTCTCCAGCTCGTCTTAGAATTCGAGGTGGGAGCCTCAATGAGACTCATTCATTCTTGGGCATTTACACCGAATTCCTAGCACTCGTATATACAATGACAACAACCACAACAACGAAGACGACAACATTCGCCGTTCACCACTAAGTGGCGGCGACGTAGAGCTTTGTATACACGAGGAATGAAGCCAAGAAAAGATATAACCTGGGCCTGCATCATCACACAACTCTGCACAGTCGAGGGAGATTGACTTGAGCCTTTGTGTTCCGTCCAGTGCCACATTTCGAAGTTGTTTACGTTACACGTCTCAATTGGCTATTTATTAATAGCGTTAACACGTTTACGGGAAGCATATCTTGGACACTATCAGTCGTCGTAGGGTGAGGAAGACACAACCCAAAAAACAAATATCCGTTATCTCGTAGATAGCCAGTATCTGTGTTTCTGGGCTGACACAAGTTTGAAACTTTGTACATTATTTGTTTTGTCTTCTCAATGTTATTCCCATTGTGCCATCACTGTCGTGGCATCAAACTAAGCATCTATTGGCAACTCTCAGAGCAATGCAACCCCGCTTTGTATTTGAGAACGGCCCATACAAGAAATGTTCATACAAATGCTTCTTTATATGCTGTTCAGTGCCCCTTTTTATGCACACACTACACAGTCAACTTTCCAAGATGCCCTGCCAGAGAGAAATATTGTTGGAATGATCAGGGCTGGAATTTGACCAAATGAAAAGACAAAAGACATTTTACACGATGGTTTTTGTGCTTCGTGACCAGCCTGAGATCATCAACGCACTGCACGAGAACCTGGACTTAATTACTGATGGCTGACACCCAGACTCGAACCCTGATCTCACTCCATAATTCCACTTTCTTAGCTCCGACTCCGGTGGCACCTGGCTATGATTTTAAAACCCCTCTTTTTACAGTTAGGTAATATGCACAATTATACCACCCTGGTGACATCACTGCTATAAATGCCAAAATGTCAAACGACGTCGCATCAATAGGGCACTATGACGGCATGCCTTGCCGTAATGGTAAAGGTGTTGTCTTAATCATTAATGAAGCTTTAAACTGCCTACCTACACAGCCACAAGATAAGAGCTACAGTTCTCCGATGTGTTTTTGGGATGTCCCGCTTGTTGTTTGAGATTCGCGCGGGAGCTTCTCCAAGATCTCTAGAACCTCTCGGCATACGGAGGAACTCCTGGTAAGTGGAGCGAATCGTCGGACGCCGTATGGAGCAATGACCTTAAAACACATCGGAGAGCCATGCAGCAGCAGCACGCAAGCCAACGCAGCGGTAAACGAAGAGCCGCCTGGCTTCTGGGTCACGTTCTCCCTTCCGTGGACATGTGGAGACGCGCGGACACAACGAGGCTCCGCGCGCAAGGCCGTGAGAGCACTCGCCTCGTGAAGAAGGACGCGTTCGGATTGCCGTTGCCGTTGCAGTTGCTGTTCGCTGCGTATGACCCCGGGGCGGCGTGCGCAGTCTTCTGCGGGCTCCCGTGCGCCGGGGAGCCTCCCGGTGTCGAGAGCGGCCACGGCAGAGCCTGCGGCGAGCGGGTGGGCGACGCCAGCCTCTCCAGCGGAGGGTGGCCCAGGCTCTGCTGTTCCCAGCTGGAGCCCTCTAGGGTTGGAGACGCACCCTGCTGTCGTGGTTGGGAGGAGGTTGGCAGCAGCAGCAGGAGGATGGAACGTGGGGAGGAGAGGCGACACGATAAGGAAGAGGTTAGCGGGCGTCGGTGCGCTAGGGCCGGGAGTGCTCGGCGTTGACATTGCGTGCGGTGGCGTGGCCGGGCGTCAGCGTGGTTGTCGCTCGTTGCAGAGATTTGCAGTTCGAGCAGGAGCGGCCGCCCTGGTCAATACTGTTCGCGTATTAACCGTAAATACGGGCCGTCCACTACCAAGTGGGCATTAACGATCGCGTGATGTGATTTGAAAGATAAGTAGCCCATGTGTGCCACTGCCACGGTACATGTTTGCCATATTTGAAAATAAAAATTGCAAATTAATTTATTTGGTAAAACCACATTGCAGCATTGACCCCCCCCCCCCTCCAACTGGCAGAATATATTCATTTGTGAAACACAGCGCCTTCCTGACAGCCTTGCACTTCACGAACGGCACAAATAACAAATAAAGGAAACAATAATGATCGTCATTAAATAATAGATGGAGGAATGAACAACGCGAGTGTGACAACTAATGTGCTCGTATTTATTCGGCACGCTGCCTTAGGTAGCGTCGCTGTCGCGTTGCGCTCACAACGTGAAATAGAGTGGAGGGGAAGCCGGCTTAATTGTAGCGAGCTGCGTGCGTGACGCGATCCGTGCCTTGTCTGCAGTCACCTTCCCATGCCCGATCGTTAGCTGGGGAGGGGGGCAGGGGCTCTTTAAATTGCTACCAGAGCGAGATCATGAGATTGCAGTAACAATCTAATGAGTCTAAGACTGCTATTGGCCTGGTAACTTGAAACTGACACCCAGCACGTCTGTGCTGGGTAGTTTGATGTTTTTTCTCGTCTCGTTGCTTTACGTGGAAAAACTCCAATTAGTCACAGGCTGTGTGAGGCCGTGACCTGATTTCGTTAGCCAGCCAAGGGGTCTCTTTCACGGCCCAGGCTCCAGAGCTAAAACTTGTTTTGGTTTTCTTTCCATTCTTGGGGTCAATGGACACGTTGTGCTACTGTTGACACGGGTCTGATGTGATATCCATGACCAGCATAGCATGCAAGGCAAGTTGTGGATCATTACACCAAATTAATATTGAGTGAAAACACATTAGCGTTATTTTCCTAACCCAATATCATTAAATAATTAACCCTGAGATGTTTTGTAATGGTGTATCCCAGGCCAGAATAAAACAGCATCATGTGGTATGTTTTATAATAACTCTTTCCTTACGAAAGTTAATCAGTTTAAAGGCTTTGTGTTAAATTGCTATCGTAAATAATTGTTCTTTGATAATAATATTAATAACAACGACCACAATTGCTATACTTATTTCAGATGTAAATCTCCGGAGACTGATTTTTTTGTTGTATTGTTAATTTAACCTGAAAAACATGTTTTTGAGACACCCACTGAACAAAAATCACAAACGCATTAAAAACCAGACGTGGCATGGGGAGAGGCACGACCCAAATCTTGCGGTTGGCTGCACGACAAAAACTTAGTCGGGTCACTTTGGGGGGGGCGGGGGGGGGGGGTGACGACAACTGATCAACAGTTTACGGTGAGGAATCGCTCGCAACCGTGCTCTGGAAACCTCATAAAGATGTGGCACGGTCCCGTGCCTCTGCTCACGCCGTGCCCAGCCCCTCATCTCGCCAGCCCCACCGTGACCCACCACCGGGCTTGCTTCACCAGCATCCCCTCCCTCCCTTCGCTGCAGTGGAATGTGTTTTAATTGCCTCTTCCCCAGCGCAGCTTTGTTCCATGGCAGTGATGTGCATCGCTGCCCTGTGATCGCTGGCCCGAGACTCGCAGCTGCTGTCACGCACCCCCTTTAAACACCGTGCACTACCCCTGCCCTCTGCCGCCCACTCGCGTCAGGTGGGCAGTGTCACGATGCATTGAATACATGCGCGCAGCGATGCTTTACAGTTCAAGTTAATTATTATGGTTTAAATTGAAGACAAAGTTATTTTGAGACGTGGGTTCATAATACGGACGTTTCACACTGAATACCAAATGCACGGTATTGGTCAACAAGTTTGTGAGCGCAGCAGGACGTTGGCTTGTCGCAGCCTCACGTGGTCCAGCTGTGGCTGCTCCATACAGCGGCAATGCAGCCTTGGTGGGTCTCCGCTGTCCGCACAGCTATTGCCTGAAGCGGCATCAGTAGCCAATAACAGTGATGGCACACACTGCCTGCAGAGGCATCGGTAGTCAATGACATTGATTAGATGCATTGTTTACATGAGTACGGTTTGATGTCAGTTTCACATCCGTAGCAGGAAAACGAAAGAGATGGGGAACAGAAGTCGCCATTATGGAGGCAATTCTCTTTTTAGGCCAAGTGGAATGTAGAATTGCAAATAGTTACATATTAGAGAGCAGTATTTTTTTACAAATAATATACAGGGAGATTTGAAAAAACACACAAATATTTCCACCAACTGTTTTTTGTTATTTCAAGTCGAAACCATTTCCCATTTCTGAAATGTTTCTGCAATGCTCCTGTGAAACAAACACGACTAGTCAGACGTGCTAAGTTCGTGCCCACTGCACCTCAAGGCAACGGTAGGTGTGACGCGCGCCTCTTAGCGCAACGTTCGCTCCAATCCTCCTCTTTTGCACCGCCCTAACCCCCTCCATCGCACGGCTTCTCAGCCACACAACCACCGCTGTTGCAAGATACTCTGAACAAACAGTCCCCAACAGCTGAGATTGCCTGCTCTTAAACATAAACACACCCTGGCAAGGCACATTATGACGAATTAAAACTTCAAGAGGATCGCGGTTGGTATATAAACGCAGCGTCTCTGACGCAATGCATAACACGCCGTGCGCAGGTGCAATGCATTCGCGGACTTGTGCTGGGAAAACAACAACAACAAACGCGTGTCGTGCTGCAGAGAGAGCGGCAGCAACAGCACGAATTTATGAGCGGGCCCCCAAGTGCTGCGTCCTTGCACCACGTGTTTACACGGAGAGCTCGGGGGTAATTGCGAAGTTGCAGCGGGCAGCAACAATGCCGACTTATATACACTACCACCACCACTGCCACCACCACCGCCACCACCGCCACCACCATCACTGTCACCGCCGCCATCACCACTACCACCACCGCCACCACCATCACTGTCACCGCCGCCACCACCGCTACCACCCCGCCACTGCCACCGCCGCAATCACCAGCACCACCACCACTGCCACCATCACCATCACCACTACCACCACCGCCACCACCACCACCACTGCCACCACCACCGCCACCACCACCACCGCTGCCGCAGCAGGAGCAGCGGTGAGGTTGGGCGACTTTGTCAACACAGCTGCGGCCCCGGAGCGGAGAAGCTCGAGGAATCTCTCGGCAATCTGCAACATTTTACCAGCCGGTGCAAAACCTCAAACCGCCCGGACAGTCACCTCTGAATAATTGTAATCAGCAACTACTTCTCGAAGCGAAGTATGCATTGCGAGCATTTTTTGAGGTTGTCGGGCATGAAGGAGAGAGAGCGAGCGAGAGAGAAAAACCTTGATGGAACACCTCAGGGAAAGACCATCCGGTGTCATCCCCCTGTTTGCAATTCCGTTCTTTGCACAGATCAATAAGTGGACCGATGCAATTTGAAATAAAAAAGTACAATTGATTTCTTACTCAGATGAGCATTGAGCCATCGGTGCTCTTCTCCTGTTTACAGCCCTGAGTCGGTGGTGGATATTCCACATTTGGAAATTCCACATTTTCACCACCGAGGGGATCGGGAGAGTCTCTCCAGAGAGCACAACCTACTGTTGACTTCCCCACGAAGTGAAATTGACTACATCGACCAACCCCCCCCCCCCCCAGAACGACGTTGGGCTGAGTCAACCTCCACCCACAATGAGGACTCTCAACCTTTCCATTGCGAGCCTCTCACTCGACCAATGACGCCAGATTATGTTCTGAACGCAAATGAATACTGCGCATACATACGCGACATGAGCTCTGCAACGGCGAATTGCGTCGTTCAGACGTGGCGGGAGTGTTGTGGTGTGGAAGAAACGAGCTGTCCTTTTGATAATGCCAAAAATAAGTATAACCCGTAAAAACAAAGTTTTTCACTATAAATCCTTTATATACGTGGCGGCTAGAGTCCTCTCGTCCTCTGGCTTGAGATGGCTGCCACCTATGGGTCAGATGATTGCCAGTATTAAGCAATTGGTAATTAAATATTTAATTTGTTTTCCCTAAACAGTGTAAAATTTTGGAAAACAATTTCACGAACATTAATTGTCTCGCACAACGAGTCTGTGTGCAAAATGTCGGCTCGATTGGATCACGGGAAGTGGGTTAAAAAACGACCGAAAGATTTGCACGGTCGTAAGCAAGCAAGCAAGCAAGCACGCAAGCACGCAAGCAAGCAAGCAAGCGAACTTAATATAAAGGATTTAAGAACGCACACACATGCACACCTCACACACAGATTCGCCAGTCCAGGCCGGCATCGTAGCCTTACGAGATTTGCGGCGAGCCGAACGCTGGCGAGTGAGCCATCCTTCAAACCAGGTTATTAAACCCACGGTTCTGTCTGCTCTAGGGCTGCCCATTCACATGAACGGCCAGCTGAGTGATGGCACACAGGCCGAACGCAAACAACCGCTGAGCATTACGAGAGCCCGGGCACATTCCAGTGGGGCTCGCTCCATATAACCTTACGGGAGCCATCGGAGTTATTTGTATTTGCGCGCTTTCAGATGCACTTCTGCGGCCGTCTGGAACGCTCTTCCTTCCAATATGAGGAAGCGACTGGAGCTGTGCACTTTTAATTCATCATCTAGATTGAACACTCATTTCTTTATAACTATTCTTTGGGTCTTTCGGGAAAGCCACGGAGATAGAAAAAATAATTAAAATATCATGACGTTTCGATCGCAACACAAGCAAGCGTCATCAGGTGAAAAATATAGCCCCGCCCACTTCGCTTATGACCCTTGGGCTAAACCCATCTCAAACCTTTATAACATCCTGCCTCAGCAGCTCTTTCGCTATTTTTCACCTGATGACGATTGCTTGCGTTGCGATCGAAACCTTGTCATATTTTAATTATTTTTTCTATCTACGTGGCTTTACCGAAAGACCCAAAGAATATGAATTCCTGCAGTCACGAAAGCTTTAAGTCAAGATTTCTTTATAACTGTTTTAATGTATAGTTTATTGTCCTTCCCCCGCACCTCCGATTAGCACGGCTGGCTACGTACGGTGTGAAAGAAATTCAACATACATGTAATCATAGTGCAGTGCCGCCGTGTTTGAAAGTGAATAGATTGATTATTTGAATGGCTGATCAAACACATGGGAAGATGTGGTTAAATAATTTAAGCTGCGAGTACCATTCGGCCTCCAGCCGTAGCAAAAGAAAAATAAATATATAAATAATTGCATTTGACATGCACTGTATTTGAGCTTTTGACAAAACTGAGTTTGCATGCTGAAAACATGTTCGGTACAAACATAAGGTTTCCTTAGGGTGATGTGCACGTGGATTTCTGTACTGGATGAAATTCACAACTGGCACAATACAAAGATAAAGATCCCCATTATAGCCTTAACAGACTGTCGGGGCAAGTGCTGTTAGCGAGCATCCATGAAGGCCGGGACGGTGCACGAGGGGGTGGGTGGCCAACACCACGCCCGACCGACCGCCTTTGTCTCCCCAGTTGCAATGTTTACACACCACACCAGGCACCCATTTTAGACTGAGTCGACCTAGTGTAGGCCCATGACTAGTTCAGATAATTGTCGCTGGAGTTGGCCGTGAATCGAACTCGGGTCGCCGGGTTTGACACACAGCGCCACCACTGCCCACACAGCTGGCACAAAGTGCAAAAACAGCCACTATGTCTTCATATAAATTTGTGATGGACAAAGACGGCCTTGCGACGTCACACCAAGGAACATTAATGCACAAACAAACAAACACATTTTTCCATTGTACATTTTGGAGTGATAGGGTGCGGTGTCATTTAAGACAAATAAGAATTTCAAGTCTGGAGTGGTGGTCATCTCCACTGGTAGTCTGGATGCAGTATTAAAATTAATCATTCTTATCGCAAAGTCCAGTAGATATCTTAATAGGAGAATCACTGTGGACTTCCCAAAAACAGGTAAGACAATGATGGGTGATGATGGTTATGAATGATGAACAAACAGCAAATTATGATGATGACCATGGATGAATGTGATAAATCATAACTTTGATGAAAAAGACAATGGATAATTAGGAAGATAATGGATCGTGCAAGACAATGAATGATGATACCGAAACAGCCTTAGTTTCAAATAAACCATTCATGAATAGAATTCTAGATTTGAAGCTTTCGTGACTGCAATTCTTAGGTTTTTTCGGTAAAGTCACGTAGGTAAAAAATAAAAATTAATAAAAGTAAAATAAAAATAAAATAAAAAAATCACGACGTTTCGGAGGTAACACAAGCTTCCATCTTCAGGTGGAACCGTCACAGCACGATAATTTAAATTTTTTACCTACGTGACTTTACCGAAAAAAACCATTCATGAATAGAACCATGAATGGAGACCCCCATTCAGCATTGCGTGCATTACTCCCAGGTGTCTCACCAGGTAAGCATGTGCCGCGTAGCCATTCATCTTTGGCGAAGTCCATGCTCCATCCCCTGCCACGCTCGCACTCGAGGAACCTCCCTTCTTGCGTTCGGCAGCTATAGGACTCTGCGTGGCCCTGGCTGCTGACGATGATGACGATGGTGGTGGTGGTTGAGCCTTGGCTCCTCGCGAGGATGGAGACTGGGACTGCGAATGCGGTGGCAGTGATGGTTGAGGCGGTGTGCCAGGGCCAGGCCGGTGCGTGGGCGTGCCGATAGGAAGATGCTCCAGACACGCCGCTGCCGCCGTTCCGGCATCAAGAGGAGGCCCAGGACACGACGAACAGGCCTCACAGCGGCCATCAGCCCAGCCGGACGCTGGCTCCTGAAGATATACAAACGGCCATCGTCATCAGCATCATCGGCATCATTAGGATCAGAATCGTCAGTATCAGCAGCTGCTGCTACGGTGTGAACATCACGATCATTGACAGGATTATCATCAGCAGCATCATTGTTATCATTCACATAAAAGCAGCATTAGTAGCGGTAGCTGCTACAGCAGTTATCATCATTTACCCAATTGTCACTGCTACTGTTATTATCAGTAGCAGCATAATCAGAAGACTGTAGCAGCATCTGCAGCTATAGCAGTGGCAGTATTCGAAAGACAATATTTGGCACCGACAGGAACGTCCCCAGCACCTTGGCCACTACCAACCACAGCCATTATCATCATCATCACTGTTACAATCGACGGAGCTGTAAACACGCCAGAAGAATTAACCTCGAAGGACCACGAGTCCCTTATGAGCCAGCGGCTGAAGTCGAACATCAATAATCTGCTAATTGAGCTGTAAACATTTATTGTTGGTCATTGTCTTGACGTCTCTAAGCCTTGCGGTCCTTCACTCCCAAATCTCTGAGTTTTGGCTCGGAGATTTCTCGGATGGCTGCTGCAGAGCAAGCGCGCGCAAAAACGGAAAAATGTTCGCTTTCCGCGAAAGCCAAAACCCTGACGGCTCCGTGCCAACGATGAAGTCGTCTGCAGGTGGCATGGAAGCAATCAACTCGCGACGCCCCGAGACACACATGGCGCAGTGTACAATTACCTTGGTTCAACAATGCTCGGATTGTGAGCCCGGGTGACTATTAAGATAACTCGCCTATACATTTACGACCACAAAACCGCGTTTCCAAAAACAAAGCTTTCTGTTATTTTCCTCCCCACTGACAATTAGATTTCTGCCTGTCGGCCTATTTATTCATTTATTTAGTATGTTGCTGCGTGCCAACAGTTGCCCCGTGCGTCCTAAAAATACCCAAGCATCCCATGTGGGCTAAATTAAAAAGTCCAATACATGGCAGACAACACGCTCTCACACACACACACATTATATGTTTGGCTTAACAGTGGCATCACTCAAATGGAGTATACCATATTATAAATGGCATCCAGATTTGATTTTACTTTCTCATTAGATTATCCAAACTTTGATTGTGGAAATGTGCCTTTATTGTTTACCATGGTCTGCCAAATTCAAATACAATTTTGTAGGTTAGCTTGGCAGCCAAGAAGCACGGGGAGAAGATTTATGCTTGGAATTACACTGAGTGACTGAAAGAGGACAAAGTGGATCAGAAGGGTCGAGACAGCATATTGACTGTGGACAGAAAAAGTCAATGTGATTGGGCAGGACACCTCGTTGGAAGAGATGATGGCCGAGACTAATAACAGAGTGGCAGCCAAAGTAGGGAACGTTGCTTATCAAGGACGGCCACCGTGACGATGGAGCGATGAGAACATCGTCCTGCGAGACCCCCCAGAGGGTACGTTTAGCGGGCGTGCGATTCACTGCCTGGTTGCAGAGGCGTGCGCGGTTCAAATCCCGTCGGCCACCCCGATTAATACCGCAGGTGCATGGACCATAAAATACACGACGTCGTTTGCTTCGCAAGGGCACGTTAAAGATCCCGTGGCATCATTGAAGAGCAGGCTATTGCGTGCGGGCGTAATGGTTCCATATCGGAAAAATTACTCGCAGATTTACGTGACGATCGTCGCCCCAAATGCAAAAAACGAGTAGGACCCTCCGGAAAAAGAGTGAGGGCTTACATGGGTACCAAGTGTAATAAAAAAAACAATAATCGTACAATCGGTTTACCCTTCCACCCAAGCCAGACGTCTTGGAAGAGGTGGGAGCACGCACACTTTACCCCACAACACGCAACCTGCCACGTGACTGTGGTGAACCCATTCACACACTCCTGAGTGGACAGGGATGGAGGGTGGGTTAAGAAATTTGTGCCATCCTTTCAACTACCGTGCCAGGAGATCGAATTGAGCCGGTACCCCCTCGAGGTCCAGTGTTCCAACCACAACACCATGGCAGAACCCAGGTGGATGTTCTGCAGCCAATCGGATGGCGTCCCGCAAGCGTGTAAGCTTTAGCTTCTGGTACAGAACGAGCACAGTTGGTTGAGCAAATACATCCTTAATATCATCCTGCTTCTTGAACGTCTGAGAAGAGAAGTATGAAAGTGCATGATATAAAGGTTGCCCGGATATCAACTCCTCCGTTATGAACATTGCATTCGCACGCACACACACACACGCACTCCTTCTGGGGGAACGGTGGAAAAGGCCAAGGCTCTGAAAACCAAAGCTATGGTTACCTAATGAGACAAATCGGCAGGGCTTCGGTGCAACGTGCCAATCCACGGACTCAAGGCCTCGCGATAGACTGTGCAAGCAAATTAATGCATTGTGTGTGCGTGCGTGCTTGTGTGCACAAGTGCAGGGTCAATTGCAAAATACATGCACGTGCATGCGTGCACACGCGCACTTTCTGCGCGGACCTTTGTTTATGATTTTAAAGCTCCCACCGCTCAACCTTATTCCCGCACGCGCGCGCGCACGCACACACATATACACGACATGCTCCGCCACTGCCGAGCTCACGCTCTTTTGTCTGGAAAGGAAATAATTTGTCTCAGTCTACGGGGTTGAGGTACGGTGCCGGGGTTTCAGTCAACGAAAGCCCTCGATAGAAACACGGGGATATAAACACGTGCATGCACGAACATCCTCCCACGTGTGCACACCGACTAAGCTCTCCCCAACCATGGCCTGCACAGACTGTTGGGGCGAGCGCCGTGAGCGAGCACCTATTAAGGCCGCCAGCATGGTGCATAAGGGGTGGCCTTTGTCTCCCCAGCGCTGATGTTTACACACCGTACTTGTGATCATTTGAGTCTGAAATGATCTAGGGCACGGGTCCATGACCAGTTCGAATGTCACGTGCCACCCATGCGGTCAGGAGTAAAACTCACGTCATAACGACAACAGCAGCCACCATTCGCCAGTAAGAGGCAGTGACATCACCACAGCATGCGTGCCAGGCTAGGTGCACCAAGTAGCACTGCAGAGCCACTCCCCAAGCACGTGCACACACGGACGGCACCGTTATGCGTGTTCTTGCACGCGACACGCATGTGGTCAGTGTACATGCTTGCCGCGTGTGAATGTGACCAAACGCCTTAGCCTGGCACAAGCGCTGTTGTACAATCGCTATCCCTTCATGGTGGATTGGCGGCTGTGTTTGTACAGCAATGCACAGGAGTAGTGGGAACTTGGCCGACAAAAAATAAACGCACGGCGGGGCGAAGGAGCTGAACAGATTGCGCATATGCTCAGTAGCCAGCAGCGGCAGCAGCGATGGTCACTATTGTTTTTTTTTTTACGAGGTAAGGCCCACTGAGCTATGTAGCTCTTTTCCCGAAACGACCTGGTCACAAATGATAGCTGAACAAATTGGCTTACCATGTGGAAGTTTATAGAAGCCAAATACTCTGATTCTAAATGAACGTTGACTCTAAATGCGAAGGGGGAAAAAACAACAAGAGGACCCGGAGAAAAATCCACGCGACCACGGAGAGAGAGAGACACGCAAATATACAACAGGCGTGAGAGTCGGGATCGAACCCACGACCTCTCACCACCATGGCACCCCCATGGTGACTGTAGGCGGTCTTGGGTGTCCGCAACGCCCCCCACCCCCCCACAACAACATTTCAGCCCAAATATCCACGGAATTTTTTAAAGTCTGAATTTTTCTCCATTCAACAAGACGACGTATGTGCTGATCGCGCTCACGACGGAGGCTTTGAATACACACAGCAGCGCACGGACAGCCGGCTCAAGTACCCAATCAGTAGCCATCGGTGGTGCCGATGTAATATAATGAAGTATATGTTTTAATAGTGGTGAGAATGTGCCACACTCCATCATTAGCTTTGTTCAATCCACTGCTGGATGAAGGCCTCTCCAAGCGGCCGCCACCTCTCACGATCCTCGGATGTAATAATCCACGAGCACCTTGCGCAAGAGCTGATTTCATTGCTCCGTCTTCTCAGTTGATGTCCTCTCTCGCACATTCGTAGTTTGCGCATAGATTTTCAAAAATACATTGAAATACGGTGTGTCAATGCTACACGTAGCTTGGCAACAGTAATTAACGATAGCGTTAGCAAATAACTGGTCACTGTGTATCTGTAATCTAACCAACAACCACCGGGAAACATTCACGAGGAGGACAATTTCCAACCACCAAAGTGTGTCTGCGCTCCTGCTGTACGTACGGCGAGCTTCTTTCACACCGTACATAGCCAAGCGCGTTAATCGGAGGTGCGGGTGTGAGGCAATTGCCAAGCGAGGTATCCACGAGTGTTTATGTACGGCTTGGTAACGCCAATCGAGAACTCTCGCCGCTCACTCAGTGGGTTCAAGTCGCCTCCGAGGCGTTCTCCAGCCGTGGGTTTGAAGCCAGCGAGAGGCGCGTAGCGGCATCAGCCACACACCGACGATGTGACCGAGACCCCTCTCGGCTTCTCAGTTTTCAGGCAGAAGGCCCAACTATGGCCAAGTCGCTGATATGAGGCCATACATCTTTGTTCGCCCCACCCACCCACAACTCCGCTCTATCCCCTCCTCACGTCACCCAACTCTTCACACTCGGTGGGGGACAGAAAGCCTGAAGGCTTGGACCAAACTGAATCAGCTGCTAGCTTCACCACAGAATGTCCTTTTTACGGCATCTTTTACGGTGCCAGACGGAAGGCTCTGTGCTTTCCTTCATGCGCAAGGGAAGCGCGGGGAAAATATGCCGCTAAATAACAACCCGTTGTTTGGGCTTACGTGGGGGCAACTGTGGAATGTTGTGTCCGCTGGTTAACAGCGCGCAGCGTAGTGTGTACGTTTGCGAATGTGCGTTTTTTTTTTATTAAAAAGTACAGAATTGTAATCGGAGTATAGCAAACAACAAGGAGATTAAAGTATCGGCTGGGAAGAAGGGAAGAAGGGAAGTGCGGTCACGATGTTATCTG